TCAGATTGTTTTAGGTTTAATATTGCTCTGAAAATAAAAAAAATCTAAACCCTGGTTACAGCCTATTTTACTCTGTTCAAATTTACTAAGAATCAAATTCCAAATATGAGCCCACAACCAGTTCATATTTAGTTACTAAGAGTACTTTGTTAAGGACAGAAAGAAAATATAAAAAGTTCTGTATTGTGTAATTTTTAAAGATACAACTCCCACATGCACTTCTTGTCTCAGCTTGTAACTGTTCCCACAAACATCTAGGATAATTTCCTGAGGCAGATGGCTGGGCACAGTAGGCTACTGTATTTTCATGTCTGGTCTCAGATGTGTTTGTTCTTGTTTCCTCATTCACAGAGCAGAGAGCTTTCAAAGAGGGTCATACGTTTAAACTGGCATGTTTAAGCTTGCATTGTGCTTTTTTATAATTTCTAGCTAAGTTGTGCTGAGTTGTGCTGTCTCTCTTCTTTTGACATGAATGTAAAATGATTACTATCACAAGAAATCTGCCCAGTGTGTTTTTAATATATTTTGTTCTGTTTTCTACAGAAAAGAATTTATGGTTGACTTGTGCTGTTAAGCTCACGTCATATCAACAAAGAGTGGTGATGACGTGATGAGAACTCATGGGCCAAGAAGCCCCAGTTTGTTCACAAACAATAGCAAAGACCAAGAAGCCGAGAAAACCAGTGTGCTATATTAGAAACATGCATATAGGTCTGCACCAGTGTCCAAAGCCCCCACAGAGATCTAGTATAAGGCCAAGCCATCACCCCAGCACCTGCCCTGCAGACCCAGCACCCAGATGAGTCTCCACCCCACTGTAGCAAGCAGGAGCAAGAGGGGGGTCCAGAAGAGGTGGAGCAACACAGAAACCAAGTAGGTTTCTGTGTTGAAACAGAAACACCTTCCATCAAGGTGTAAGCCTGCGCAGACCTGAGCAACACAGCACGTGGGACTACCCAGCAGGCTACCCCAGGCCAGGGAGAGCACCCCCAGCCCTTGAGATGGGTAGAGGGCAGGCAGGAGTGCCAACATGCTGCAGTTGACTTTGGTTACTGTTGGCAGGCATGCATAAGATGTGAGCTGTATCATGCCAGTGGGACATTCCTGAACACCTCACCCAGGAGGCATCCTAATCAGAGGCCCAAATAACTCAACTGGACCCTTTCAATATGGAGGAGCAGTGGCTCTACTCTGAGCCCCTCCCAAATGATTCAACTCCTCACACTATCTATATGGAAGAGGGCAGACACCCTTTGGTCTGCCTTCTTAAAGGTGGGAGCTACCACCGCAGATCTCCACACTATGTTGCAGAAAGGTGCCAACCAAGACAGCAACATCCAGATTCAACACAACAAAGTAATAATACATCAATTAATTAATCATCAGAGTACCTGATTTCATGTTTTAGTAGACATAATCACTGCTGCAGATACTGACTCTGGATTTAAGAAAGGAAATGTGAGAAAGAACTAACAATGATTCAGACTCTGAATACCCAGACAGCTGCACCTGGTCTCACCTGTTTGTTTAAACATCACAAATCATCGGGCAGTCTATCACTGATTAATAAAGATGATGGTGATGACCTCAAAATAGTTTGTTTTAAAATGAAAACAAACTGTACACCTCAAGTTCATGTCCTCAGTTTCATTTCTGAGGATTTAAAATTCAAATTTTACATTTAAACACAAATTCTGCTTTTTACACAGTTTCTGGATCCAGAAACACTTTCTTAGCCTGAGTTGATCCAAATGTACCTTCTAAAACTAAATAGCTGATGGAGACTCTGACACTGGTACCAACTAAAATGCAGCTCATCAAAGTTGTTGTCAGATCTTTGTAAATGGCATTTTTCAACGCATAATCAGGAAAAACACTCTGACCTGTAGGTCAAACTGTCAATCTCATCAAAAGAAAGCAGTTCTTCTTCTATTCAGCTTGCGTTGCCTTCTTTTCACTTCAGCATATTAGGCTGTGGAACTCTCTACCCCCTGATATAGAAAACATTGCTTTTCTCTCCCAGTTTAAATCCCAACTCAAAACCCATCTGTTCATATCTCCATATTCACTGTGAACCCACTGTT